CACCAGAGCACCCGCCAACCACCCACTTGTAAATCTTTGACTCGTAAAATCAGATCATTGTTTCGTTACAAAGAAGCATTGGATAATATTGCAAGAACAGGCAAGTTTGATGGAAAGAGAGGCAGAAGCAGGCAGAAAGAAAAGATACTGAACATGTTGACAACATGGCTGGGAACAGCAAGAACGAAATACACCGTCGCTGCAACGCAAGAAAGATTGAAGTGGATGTCTATGATTGCCCATGCCATTCGGCAAGGCACCGGATGATGATCGTTACAAATCAGAAACACACTAAAAAGCTTTCGTGAAAAGAATATGATCACGTACATGCCACACCCATCAGAGGCAGATAGGGCGTGTTGCTCCAGGGTTGCTCTAGTGTGCTGTTTTACGGCTTTGTAAATATAAATTTGGACATCTCATGCGATTACCAACACGCCATCCAGCATAACGTGCCTACATTAAAATTTTAAATAGAAATTCAATGGCAACAAGGCTAAATTTACTGCATTTTGTTCTACTTAAAAATGTTCATGTTTAAATATCTTTGTACATAGCTATTGCACATCACATATAAATACACAATTATAATCTGTAGACCCCGTGTCCCCACGAACGCATTTCCAAAGGGTCCAAGACGTTCCGTTTTTTTTTTTTTTTACTTCTTTAAGTCAGTTGTCACTTGACACCTCTTGACAAAGCGTTGTCAGATCCGTTAAGACACGGTGATGCTTCGTGCAGAAAGCTAAACAACGCCAGTGTCAGGGGGTCGTTGTGAACTAGGTCAGCGTCATGTAGTTCAAGGCAACAGGTAACTTATTTACGTTTATTTTGTGTCTCCCACGAATATTTTGGGCCCCGAAGCATAGTCTTTGTGCTTGGATAATGTATCCCTTAAAGCCCGGGTTGGCTGCGACCGACGGGACCAAAGCTTGGCTCTTGGATGATCTAAACGAGGGGTCAGCGACCTTCTGAGCCAACTAGGGCACATCGGAGCTCAGAGAAGACCCGCTTGGCCGGTAAAAAAAATAAAGGAGGTATCAAAGAAAGAACTTTGATGAATCATCTGAAAATAGCAGTGTACGGCAATAACGATAAAAAAAACTTACTTCAGGCGTACACGGAACTGTCCTTGATATTTTTTAGCGGTTAGCAATAGTAGCAATATCTGTGAATTCTATTGGAGAAAGTTATACTCACATTGACATGATGTATCTTCATCTTTCGAATTAAACATCTAGTTCAACACTGCGCCACAACTCAAACTTACAGACTCGCTCTGCAGTCAAAAACAACCCAAATCGCTGGATACCTAGATCTAGATACATCTACCAAATACATTTTACAACAATCATGCTCACTTCGGTAGACCAGTGTTGTACTCAACTCTCTGAATGATTATTTCTTCGATACATCTTAAAGACCACACTTTCATAAACAAAATCAGTCCAACAGGGTGCACTACGGGTGACCTATGTAGTACTCACACCTCTTAAAGAATATATTTTAAAAATACATCTTAAAGACCGCACTTTCAAAAACAAAACCAACCAAACATGGCACACTTTTTTCGGAGCCCTAAAATCGTTCATCCACACCATGCTGAGGTGTCAAAACCTACTGGTTATTTTGGACTATACTGCTCTACGTTGACAAAACGCGATTTTGTTATTTACAGCAGTGTCAAGAAATCCAACGATTTTCGGTTTTCTTAATAAAACAGCTAAACTATTTTGTGCAGTACATCAACTGTTTGTTTCGCAAACTGAAGAGAATGTCATTCCCAATGCTCAATAGATACGATAAGAAGACTGAAAAATCCTTGATTTCTCGAAACTGCTGAGAATAAGAAAAAGGCGCGGTTTTTATCAGCGTAGGGCAGTAAAGCCTTGGCCGAGACCAAGACATCCAAAGTTCCTGTATCCTCAGCCTATATGCTTGTAGCCAATTCGTCTAATCGAGCATTTCGAAACAAATAATATTTGTAACCAAACTTTCAAGACAAACAGTTGGGGTTGTGGGTGTGACGTGAGTTAATGTGGGTTGATGGGGTGTGATGGGGTGATTTGGTTGGGGGGGGGGTGATGGGAAGTGATTTGGGTGATGTGGGATGGTGGGGGATGACGTGGGGTGATGTGGGGTGATGCAGGGTGGTGTGGGGGTGATGGAGAGTGTTGGGGGTGGTGTGGGATGATGTTGGTGATGTGGCTTGATGTGGGATGATGTGGAGTGACGTGGGGTGGTGTGGGGGTGATGGGGAGTGTTGGGGGGTGATGTGGGTAAAGGTATGGGAATCTCACCGCTGATGCCATCATTAGTTTCTGCTCAAATCCAGTCGGGGAGTGTCTTTTTGCCACGAGCGACACAATGTATATGATAGGCGCGGGTAAAGTCCATTAGGCCGGACGTTATATACACACAAACAGACTAAAACATAAGTTAAGGACCACTTGCAAACATAAGTTAAGGACCACTTGCAAAAGTCACTAAAAACACCCCAGCAAATTTGGCTAAAATTCCCGGAGGATTTCCGTCCTGCACGTGGTCTTCACAGTACGCATTGTTAACCCATTAACATTTTCAAAGTTTTAAAAAAATGAAACATTCCTTGTTGTCTTTTCCCCCCTTGAATTTGTAAAAATCGGGGCTGTCTGTCAAGGTGGTCCTGAACTTATCTTGAAGTCTGTATTAT